GCCGGGGTGGGAATGTTTGGGTCCTGTCATTTCTGTGAGCGTGTTTAATTCAATAATGTGGGAATGCCCTTAATGAAGCAGGTCCTCGCTCTTGGCTTCGGTGGTGTTCCCAGGCAGGGGTGCCAGCACAGGCTGCTCTCAACATGGCTTTGCCAGAAAGGCAGTAATTAAAACCAGCTAATGACGCTTGAAAATAAAAGCTGCCCAAATTTGGGGGGATTTTGGTTTTTGGTGCTTCTTGTTTCCTTGTCTTAGATATACACATCCCTCTCACCTTCTCTTTTTTTTTTTTTAATTCAATTTTGTCTTAATGCCACTTCCCCTCCATTATTGCCCCCCAGTGTCATCCATGCAGCATTAAGGGGGATTTTTCTGCCACCCGGAGCCCAAATGTCACCAGCTTCCTGCGACACGTTAGAAATGTGGGTGAACAAAATTCACCTGCTTCAAGTTTGTGAAGAAGTCACTATTTGCCAGAAATTTTCCCACAGTAGTAGACAGACTAGAACCCCCATCACCTTATGATGCTACCAGTGATGCACAAGAGGTTGAGAAATGAGCGTCAGCCCCATCCCAGTTGAGGACATTGCCACCCATGACGCCCTCCCTCTGCGCCGATCACATCTGGGCAGTGAAAATGGGACCCTAAGGTGCTTTTCCCAACTTTCTCCTCTGTTTTGTATAAATGGAGATGAAAATGAGTTGTTGGTTGTTTTTTTTTTTTCCCATATATTTGCATCCGCAGAGCAGCGCTCATCACCACTTGCAAAGCAGCACAGTTGTAAAAAAAAATTACCATTTGATGGGAAACAAATAAAATTTTCCATCAGAATACAAGAGTGGAAGGCACAAAAATTACTTTAAAAATGAAAAAAAAAAAAAAAAAGGCAGATGATATCTGCTACCTTCTGTGACATTTGTATCTTAGTGGCCAAGCAGCAGCATGGTCCAGATGCTCCAGAGAGGAACATGCTGGAAGGAGGATGCTCCTTCCAGCATGGCCAACATGGGGCCACCAGCCGCCCAGCTGGGGACATGTCCCCAGAGCCTGTCCCAGCACAGCAGCTCCCAGGGTGTCCCCATCATCAAGGTGTCCCCATCCCAGGGTGTCCCCATCAGTAGCGACACCTGTTAGCCATCCCACCTTGGAAGAGGTGGCATTGTCACCTGCCCAGCCCTTTCTATAGCCTATAGAGCTATGTATTAAATTAATATGTGCAGGGTGTGGTTTGGGACCTTCACCTTGAGGATGTTCTTCCCTTTGCTGGTGGCAAAGGCTGCATAGCCGACGTTTTAATTTAAGAAAGACAAAAAAGCAGAAGGGGGAGGTGGAAGGAGAATTGACCTGGCGATGGAAGGAGGGAGGGACAAAGCTGGGAGGTGGGAGGGGGAGATAGACGGTGGGTGAGCTATCAGCTCTTGCCAGGCTGGCAGCAAGACGGGGTATGAGGGTTAAACCAACTGTGCAGCCGTGATCTCCCGAGCCCAGATAAACACCCAGCAGCCACATGCTGCCCACACCTTGTCCCAACACCCAGGATGGAAACCAGCCCTGCCTTGGCTGTGGGGGCTTGGCTCAGCCTGGCTGGGGGGTCCACATGTCCCTAGTGCAGGGACAGGGCTCCCTGCATCCCCCGGGTTGAAGCCTGAGAAGGACCCCCTTCCTTCAGCCAGGGGAAAACATCACCCAGAAACTTTGAAAGCAAGCGTTGGCTGCTGGGTGGGGGGGGAGTAATGACTGAGCTTTTAGGGGGATGCTTTAAAAAAGCAAGGGATACTTTAGAAGACCCTAAGCAGGAAATGACTCTGAAAATTATAGAAATTACAAACAAGAAAACACCTGTAGTGCCATTCCTATTCACCTGCTCCATGCTATAGGTTGACAACTGTCAGCAGCTTGGTGCTGCAGTTATATATATATATATTTTATATATATACACCCCCATATACATCTTCAATGGACCACTCACTCCCTGACTTCTGTTACCAGCTCAATCGTTTTTTTAAATATTTGCGCACATGCCTACGATAACAACTTTTTTTTTTTTTTTCAAAAAAAAAAGAGGAATTACACACATTGCCTATTAAATCATGGCTGAACACTTGCTAGGGTGGGAAAGGGAAGCAGCATTGGCCCCAGCAGCCCCCTTCTTGCACTGTCCCCCTCCCCAAAAGAGGGGAAAAGACCATCGGAGTCTTTGGGGGACCCCTGAATAATGTGCTGGGGTAACGTGGCAGCAGCTGTCAGTGCTGGCCTGCGGCAGGGGGATTGCTCCGCCCGTCTTCCTTCCTGCCTGCCCCACGCGCTCTTCCTCCCGCCTGCTCTCTCTGCAAAAGCCCAGCCCAGGCTGAATGGCACGAGCCAAGCAAGGAAAAATTAGCAGATCCTTTTGCAAAGTTTTTGCTGCTTATTCATGACTTTTGATGGCTGGGGATGGGCTGACCTGGCATTCTCACCCCATAATGCCCAGGAAATGAAATACTGAAGCAGTGATGGATCCGAGCAATAAGGTGGGAGAGAAGCAGACAGCAAGTGGAGGCTGCTTTGTAAAACTTTATTTAGAAATATTCTTGATATATTCATTATATATATATATTTATATATACACACACATTACAACAAATGTGTTTTCTAAATAGCACATCCACAGTGGGTTGAGACTCAGGGTACCGGGTCTGGTTACTTCATTTCTGCAGAAAAAATGCAGAAATCCAAGGGGAGGGGGGGCAGAGAAAGGGACGGGGCTGAAAAACCCAAAAATCATAAGGTGGGAATTCACTCACACGGTACAACATTGCCCCAAAGAGCTGTTTCCAACAGAAACGGGGGGCAATGGTCCACACAGCGAGAGATGAAGCAGGCAGGAGGAGAGGTGGGCAAAGGAAATGTACCATTCAAATCACAATCAAAGTACAACTGTACATACCCCGGGAGACCTACAGCACGCTCTGCTAAGGGCTACAAGCAGGCATGCGTGTGTGTGTGAGTGTTGGGGGTGGCATGCCACCAAGGTTGTACCATATTCCCAACTGATCAGCTACCAAAAAGATTAAAAAAAAAAAAAAGTGGGGAATGAGGAATTTCTGAGTGTCAGTGATTTTTTCTTGCAATAGTTTAATAAAGAGGGTGTAAAACCCCCACCCGCCCCAGGGTTATTTTGAACGCTGAAAACCAAGAACGGCTTTACCTGTGTGACAGCATCCCCCACCCTTCCCGGAGGGGGCCCACATCTCCTGCCTCTCCTACCCCTTCCACCCGGAGCAGCCCAAACCTCTTCCTCAGCATCACTCCATCACCCGCCAGCGCCTCTCCCCCAGCCCAGCCCTGCATGAAACCCGCTTTAATACCAACCCCCAAGCACGGGCAATCTGGATGCGGGAAGGAGTTTTCCTCCTTTTCCCCAGTTTAAGATGAGGAGGTTGGTGGTTTAGAAGGATTTGGGGTCTATGCTGGAAACCCTTGCTTGGGCCAGGGCCCCTTCCCAGGCAACTAATTCCACCTGACATGCCAACCCATACGCCAGCCTCCCATCTATTATTTGCAAAGAGGCACTAAAATCTAATGGGGATGGAAACAATGGGGCTCTGAATTAACCCTGGAGGGGCTTGCAGACATGCTCCCAAACCCTCTGTGTTTCCTTGTACCTCAGCACCCTTGAAAAGGAATGAGTGCTGCGGAAAGTGTCCCTGTCGAAGGACTCATTCCCTTCCAAAGGACGTATGTGGGTGGGTTTTTTCTTTTTTACTGTAGCACGGTAGAGATTTCTGTGCCTTGACATCTCTGCAGGGGGAAAGGGTGAGCTTGAGACAATCACTCCATCAGGCATCAGGCGATGGGTGAGAGATGGGCCTGATGCAGCAGTGATGGCATGATGTGGTCCTCAGCTCCCAGCCGCCGCCGCAGCAGCCTCCTGCTCCCCAGTCCTTCTGTTCCCCAAATGCCCTCCCAGGGGGGCAGCAGGGATCAGAGGATCGGCTCAAGTCACGCTCATCAATTTTGCAGTGACCTGGGTGCTCGGGAATGGAGGCTAATCCCACCGCTGCTTTAAGTGCTTCCCCCAAGATTCAGAGAGGCCGTGGGCTCCTATCAGTCTCGGGCAGGCAAGGACCCTCCTAACTCCAGATAAACCCAGTGCCATAGTCCAGCCTGTGGGGACTGGCACAGCTGAACCACCACCATCTTCACACAATAAAAAAAAAAAAACTTCAAAGCATACTATTAAAACCCTTTTATACCCTATATACACACACACTGTTGATGCATCGACTCCTTTTGACATTTTGTTGCTTTTCAAATTTAAAAATCCCCCAGTCCGAGGGCATGCTTCACTAGCAAATGGGTTTTTTCCCCCCTTACCATCTTCCTTGAGAGAAGGTCTGGCCCTACAGATGCCACTGGGAAAACACTAGAAGAACACAACAGGCTTGGAGCTCACCTGCTGAGTGTTACCAGCAGAAAAATCAGGGACTGGGAGGGCAGCAGGAAACACCTATGTACCTTTTCATTCAGTGGATACTGCATGACAGCATTAAACAGAAGTAATCCCACGTCATAAATACAACAATCCCAAACAATCCAAAGTTAGGTAGAAGGGAAAGGAAGAAAGGGGAAAAAAAAAAGGGGGGGGGGAAAAAAAGGAGAGAAAAAGAAAAAGTCTTAATCCTTTTAATAGTTCTTTTGCTGAGGGTATTTTTTCACCTCTTTAAAAAGATACAGTCAAAAGCTCTCAGACAACAGGAACACGTGGCCCCAGCTCCTGCTCAGACCAGCTGTATATGCCACAGACTGGAGAAATGCTGTAGTGCTGGCAGGTTTCAGCAGTTTCCAGCACCACGTAGAGCTAGAAAGCTTCAGTGGCCTCCACCAGCAGCAAAAGAGGAGTTTCATGTCTCAGCCAGGTGACTGTTTAAAAAGTGACAGTCGTCAAACGGCCCAAGAACCCTCGAAATGCTGGAGAGGTGGTGGCCACGTCTCCTTCCCCTCCACAGAGTCACGTCATGAGCAGTATGTACAATGAAGATGACTTCAATGCTTTTCTTCTTTGTACGATCACGTACCTAAATGCCGAATGTCCATCTCGTTTGGTCTTGTCCTCGGCCAACGTGCCAGCTGCTCCATTCTGGGCTGGGGAGGACGGGGAGCCCGAGCCTCCGGGGCAAGGCAGAGTCACAAATCCCACAGGCACAAGTTCCAGCATCTGCTGCACACTCAGGTCTCGCCTGCCCTCTTGGTGCTTCGGGAGCGATGCGGAAGGTCATCACCGCTGCGCGTTGCCTTCTACAGGGAGAATGGCGTGGTGCAGGCTCCGTGTGTGCTTCGAATCTAGTGTTTCGTGCTCTTCCGTGAAGCTGTCCGGGCTTGCCGCTCCGTCTAAAGAACTTCCACAGCTAGAGTTAGGAGACAACATGTCCTGCAGGAGGTCTTCCTGGACTATCCCAGAGTCTTTGTTCACTTTGCCCCTTTGGTTTCCTTCTTCCTCCTGATCGTTGAGCAGCTTGGCCAGGAAGTTGATGTATTTCATAGCCAGGCGCAAAATCTCGTTCTTGCTCAGTTTTTTGTCAGGCGGGTGGGTGGGGATGAGCTTGCGAAGCTCTGCAAAGGCTCCGTTGACATTCTGCTGTCTCCACCTCTCCCGGCTATTGGTAAAAATGCGACGAACCACTTTCGTATGAGGACCTGCAATTGCAACCGCGCAGAATTAGGAGCAGGGTGTAACAGTTCACTTAGTACTTTGCTGAATAGGTCACCGTTTCCCAAATTAACCAACTTATTTTAGTGACATCAGCAAGGCAGACAGTAAAACAGCAGTTTCCAGCTAACTGGAAGCTAACCTGAGGAGTTGAGATAGGCATAACTTCTGTTCAATCCAGTAGAAGGGAAAAATGAAGTTGCCTCTTTCTAGATGCCTCCTGAGATGCCTATATTTACCTCTTGAAGAAGGAAGGCTTATACCATGACACATGTGCAGAAGGTTGATATATTTTTAAGGTGTCTCAGCAACCAAGGTCCTATTAAAAGTTTATCTCCTAGATGGTTTTATTTTCCATCCCAAAAGTGTCTTAAGGACATATCATTGGAACAGGAGGAAATTAGCTTGAGCAGAGGCTTTGACAATTCAAAGATCCAGAGCTCTTCCCTGATGTGGGCAGGATCCAGAGCTGACAGAGACATAGGATTGCCACCAGCCCTCTGGGTGGTTTGTATGAAACAGGGTGGCAGGATTTGCCCCGTAGCTATGTGACCCACAGAGTGAAAACAGCATCTTTGCTGGAAGGGTGGTCATGGGTGGAGGATGAAGCAGTTTCACAGCTGACCTGGGGACCACCTGCTCTATCTGTACATAAATGCCGCAGGGCAAAGACTCCCTGTCTCACACTAATTGGAGAAGAGACTCTAAATTGCTACAGGTGTCTGTTTCAGTTACATGTGAACTCAGTTAAATCCCTGTAATTTTACAGCCATATTTCTGACAGGGCATGTTACACAGGATGGACGCACAAAACACAGATCATCGGGGTGACTCCTGTTGGCACGAGCAAGATATTGTCTCTGTGCTAGAAGAGACCCAAAAGCATGTCTACCCAAAAGTACTGCACTACAGGAGTAGCAGGGCTGTAAATTAGGATTGCAGGTCCTTGGGTCCATGGAAACCAGTTCATGTAAGAAGGCACTACCATGAGATGTTTTTATTATTACAACCTCTCCATCCTCACCTCCAGGAGACACCAACAGTGGATGGACACGACAATCTCATGAAACTCTGGGAGAATTACTATGACAGAATCCCCACAGGATGGGAAGCATACGTAGAATGAAAATCATCACAAAGTATGAAGCAAAGACTTGCAGATAACACAACAGTGAATCATATCCCAAAGGTCAGGCTGTGGATATTCCCATCTGCACCATTTCTCCCCTGTAGCCCCACTCTTGCTCCGGTGGGAGCAAGCCCCTGGCCATGGCGAGCAGTTCACACCATAGCTCTGCCATCACCCAGTGAAACCAGCGTCCTGGGGGGCATTTAAACATCGTTATTCTTACTATAGCAAAACTCTTGGCTGCTTTGACTCTGGCAGAGTGGTCGAACAGATGTGATTTTGGAGGCATCTGAGTCAGGCTACACCTTGACAGATCCCACCTGGCACAAGGTAAGAAGAGGAATCCCACGTTCCAGCTGGTTAAACATGGTCACACTTTCCTCCCTTCGGGGGAAACTGAGCCCCTTCAGTCCAGCACATTGCACGAAATATCCCCCAGGGCAGGGTTTGCATGGGGACACACTCCCAAGCAGCCAGATTAAAGTTACCATCTTCTGCAGTGTGTGAGCAGCCACACAACTCACTTCTCCTCGCAGTGTGCCCAGGAGCAGAGAGTCTCCCAAAATCACAGTGAGCCCCTGGGACCAGCTGGGGAATGTCGGAACACAAAAGTCATCTCCGACCTCTAAGATGCAGTCTGATGCATTAATAAAGCCATTTTCCACCCAAACAGCACATAAATACCCTTCTTATGAATTAGTGTGCAAGAGCTCATGGAAAGGGAAGGTTTCTTGTCCCTGATGTGCACAGCCCAGTGTGCCACGGGGTTGTGGGGAAGGCGGAGGGGACTAAGGGGACCTCAACAACGTCAGGCTGCCCAGCACTGTTAATAAGGCAGTGGAGAACGTGCTGCATCCTGCTACAACAATGCAACAGCTTCAACACTTAAATGTTCTTTCCAAACATGACAAAGCAACCAGCCTTGAATGCAGAAGGAAACGCAGTTTAAAACTGTTTTACTCCCATAAGGGTATGAAAAAAAACCACCTCGGATACTGTTTAGTTTAAAAAAAAAAAAATCTCAAGAGACTTCCAGTCCTCATAGGCTTCAAACATGTGTCTGTATTCACTGAAAGCTGCAGACTAAAAGGCATCTATTCGTAACATTTTGAAATCAGAAAAAAGACCTATTCGTTTTCATCCAGGGGCACCCCAACGAAGCTCCAGTATATAACACAAATTCTGACCCCACTCAGATTTTTGATCGCTGCATCAATCAAATTAAATATATCTTTTAGAAAGAGATCAGGTTTTGGCCAAAAAGTGACAAGCAATGGAGAAATTTAAAATGCCCCATAGCTATGGTACAATAGAAGAAATTTATTTCTTATAAAGAAACTTGCCTCATAATTAATTAAAGCAGTCAGCTGAGAATTTTTGCCTGGATTTTGTTCCAATTGATTGACTGATACTTTTTAAATTGTGATCAGAGGTCTGAGGAAAACTAATAAAAAGATGAGCTTCCAAAGTTACAGAATACCCTTGCAGGTACGTTTTTACATTTTTGTGTCTATTTCTATCTATTTTTTAAGAAGATATTCAACACACCAAACTTTCCCAAAAACGGATAAATAGTTGCAAAGAAGCCACTACTCGTTTCTGTACAGAGGAAACCAAACACCAAGTGCCCGGCAAGACTCTCCTGCTCTTCTGTACCTTCCAAGGGCTGAGAACCTGCAGGAGTGATGCTCCCGTGTGCTGCGGATGTCACCCGGCAGGTGACCATCAGAGCAACGAGCAAAGCCCAGCAGACAGCACAGATGCCTCAGCATGGGATGCCCGTCCCTACAAATTGCTCCTGTTTAGGCAGTATCATCTGGTCCCTATTTTTCCTCAAAAATTCTGAGTCTAGTCTTGGAAATTCCCATGAGCCAGAACCTGTAGGATTGGGCCCAGTCTATACACCTGGCAAGCACAGGTCCAGAAACTTGGTTGCAATCAAATATCTTTATAATCCTCGATATCTAATTTAATAGCAAGTCGAGAGCTTTAGCCAGACCGTGATTTGATGGACTTTCACTGTAGCTGCTAAGCCTCCGAATCGAAACCCGGATAAAAAGACCTTGTGCCAGGGGCTGAGAGAATCCCTGCCCCATGGGGCTGCGGTCTGAAAGGACCAGGCAGACGGAGGAGGGCAGAGAGTGGGGAGAGAGGGACTGATGAAGGCAGATAATGCCCTGAGCCCATAATTTCGTACTGTATTATTTTAGAGAGATGTGGATTATGATTTGGTCTGATTTTAGCTTAGCCGGCTAGAAGGAAAGAGACGGATAGCTAGAAAGAAGGAAAATTAATCGCCCGGTGATTGAAATACGGCGTTTACAATTGCTAAAGAGAAAACACATTTCAATGGATCTCATTTGTACGGGCTGTTAGCTCTGCAGATAAACGTGTCAGCCTTCCATGTCCAAATTGTTCTTGCAAATATCCCTTCGCATGGGCAGCTGCCGGCAACCCACGCCGGCCGCCTGATCCTGCCCTGCCTTCTCCCCGCCTCCTCCCAGCTCTCCTTTCTTTGCAATTATCCTGCCAGTCCTGCAGGGATCCCCGTACCTGGGATCTCTGCTCGGACACCAGGCTCTCACCCTCCACAGCTGTTCCAAGGCTCTGCCACAACACTGGACACGGGATATTTCCCCACAGCAGACTGCAGCACAGTGTGGATTTATACCGAACCAAGCTGCGGACAAGCTGGTGAAGGGACCAGTCGCAATCCCAGCGCGACCCTGCAGACCTCAGCACAGGTTTTAGCTCTTTGCTACCAGGCACTTTAAAGGCAGGTCGGATTTTTCTGCCCAAGGCTGCGGTCTGCGTGACGAACGTGTCCTGGCTGAAAGGGTTTGCCAAGGCAGCGTGGCACTGCCATGGCCCTGATCCAGCCCCCGCACTTCAACGAGGACTTAAATTTAGTGGCTTCCTTCGGATTTAATCTCTAAGCAATTTGCAGAACAGGGATGTAATTAACCATACGCTGAACTGCTTTGCTGCGTGAAAGCAAATCCGCCGAGCAGGCTGCTGGTCATTAGCCGGGATAGATCCGGTCTCTGCTATACCGGGGGAAGCCACCCGATTTACCCTTTACGATTTGGGGTTTTAATCCCAGCATGTGGCACCGTGCAGTAATCCACCCCCTTCCGCAGATGGGGAACCCCCCAAGAGCCAGCGCAGGGGCGAAACGCTCTCACCGTCGGTGATCTCCATCTCGTAGGGAGAGGGTCTCCTCTTCACCCGGTTGCTTCCGTACATGGAGAAGGAGTCCGGTTCGCCGAAAAAACCGCTGCAAAGGAAAAGGAGAGAGGCCGTGAGAACACACCGGCAGCCCCCCGGCACGGCACGGCACGGCCCCGGCGGAGGCGGGGGGGGAAGCGCCTGGGGTCCGCGCGGGGCCGGCGGGAAGCCGAGCAGCTCCGTGACCCCGGAGGGAGCTCACGGCTCACGACGCCGAGCCCGGAGTCGTGCGGCCACACGACACGCGGCCGCTCGGCGACACGCACCGGGGGCCGCCAG